AAAAAAAATAAGTTGCCCACTGGATTTCCCCACATGGAGCTTTGCATCATAGAGTTCCTGGGTTTCAATCTGGTTTCATCTGTACCAGATCTGAAGCAGATCTAGTGTGCTCTGCTAACGTATTTCAATGTTCAGGGTCTGAATCCACAATTGAACTTACGGTAGCTGTTGCTTGCATTGTTTAATAGATCAACAGGAATCACAAGTAGATCTCAGTCTGCCTTCTATCATTCTGATAACATATTTTCTTGTGATTTTGAATCTTAAAAAAAGAAAGAAACATGTTGGCGGGTATTCCTGCTCAGTAGAGGATGCCATTGGTAGAGTAAATATTGGGTGAGGAGAATTAGAAGTCACATAGTTGAATCATATAGTTGATTGCAGAAGAGCCATTATTAAGAAACTAGAGGAGATTCTTAAGTGTAAGGGTGTATTACTGAAGATTAAGACCAAGATAATCCATAGTATGATATTCCCAGTTACTATATACAGATGTATAAATGCAGAATTGCAGCTGCAAGATCAATCATTAAGGAACTAGAACATATCTTTAAGAGTAAGGATATGTCAGTGAGACCAAGATTAAGATTATTATATGCCCAATCACTATGTATGGATGCAAAACGTGGGCAATGGAGAAAACTGATAAAAAATTTTTTTTTCAAATTGTGGTGTTCAAGGAAAGTTTTGTGGACAACATGGATCATCAGAAGAACAAATAAGTGGGTTCTACATCAATTCAAAAGCTGAACTCTCACTGGAAGCTAACATGATTACATTGAGACTGTTGTACTTCAGAGATATTGTGAGAAGAAAAGACTGATAAAAAAAAACACAATAATGCTGAAGTTGAGGGCCATAGGAAAAGAGGAAGACCTAACTTACAATAGTACTCAATAAAGGAAACCAGTGTAGTGGGTTCTACATCAACTCAAAAGCTGAACTCTCACTGGAAGCTAACATGATTAAATTGAGACTGTTGTACTTCAGAAATATTGTGAGAAGAAAAGACTTAACAAAAAAAACCACACACAATAATGCTAAGAAGTTGAGGGCCATAGGAAAAGAGGAAGACCTAACTTACAATAGTACTCAATAAAGGAAACCAGGGACCTTTTAGCTTGCAAGGTGTAAACAGAGCTGTCAAAATAAGAACTCTTGGAGGTAATTAGTTCATAGGGTTGGCATAAATCATAAGCAACTTTAAATCACTTGACCATTAGGAAACCAGGTTATCGTTTTAAAGCTGGGCTACAGAGTATGGTTTGCTGTGTTAGATTCAGCATATGTTAAACCAGCAGATGGAGCCCTTGGATTATATATTTTTCCCACTGCAGTAAACATATTTGGCTGGGATCTTTACCAACTCCCATAGCAAGGTTCCAAAAGTTGCTGTTGACAAGCAGCACAGCTGACCTGGCCAATCTTCATAGCTGAACTTCCTGCATGGAAGTTACAAGCAGATTCCCACGTGAAACAGGGCCAATGTGCTTCTGCGTTTGAAGCTCTTGTCTGATTTATTCTCGAAGGCTTTCATGGCTGGGATCCGATGGCTGTTCTAGGTTTTTTGGGCTGTTTGGCTGCAGGTTTTTGTGCTGCAGGTTTGTCTTCCTAATGTTTCGGCAGTCTCTGTGGCCAGCATCTTCAGAGGACAGGTCACAGAGACTGGCGAAACGTTAAGATGAAAAACCTCCAGAACACAGCCAAACAGCCAGAAAAACCTACAATAACCATCTTGTTTGATTGTTTGAATGTTTTAATCATTCTTAGAAATTTGAAGATGTAAGTTAGAGCAAGGGAGAAGAGCATACTGATTCCTCTTTGCAGAGACTGGCGAAACTTTAAGTCGAAAACCCTCCAGAACACAGCCAAACAGCCAGAAAAACCTACAATAACCATCTTGTTTGATTGTTTGAATGTTTTAATCATTCTTAGAAATTTGAAGATGTAAGTTAGAGCAAGGGAGAAGAGCATACTGATTCCTCTTTGGTACTGGTTGATCTGTGAAGACTTCAATGCCAAATTAACTCTGTGCAAAGTTGGACCTCCAGTCACTTACATCTGGGAGTCACATTTGGACCTCCAGTCACTTACATCTGGGAGTCACATTAACCATTTGAATTTTGAGAAGTGTCAAACCTTCATGTAAGTGCTGTGATTAGAAATACAAAAAGCTGTGATTGCTGAATTGATGTCCTTTATGGTGGCTAAAATAGAAACTACTGGCCATCAGTGATTTTTTTTGTTGATGTTAACTTTTCCTACAGAATAGTGACCACAGAGTGCAGTTAAGCATCTGAAAGTGCTTTGCCTGTGTGACCAAAGCAGGCATGATTTCTTCTGTAAACACCCACTTTTCAACTACAGTGGTGCTCCGCTTGATTATTACCTCGTTAGACGAGGAAATCACTTTACGATGAAGTTTTTGCGATCGCTTTTGCGATTGCAAAACGATGTTTTAATAGGGAAAAACCGCTTTACGATGATCGGTTCCCTGCTTTGGGAACCGATTTTTCGCTTAATGACAATCTTTACAGTTGATCGTCAGGTCTTCAAAATGGCCGCCCGTTGTGCAAAATGGCTCCCCGCTGTGTTTTAGGACGGATTCCTCACATTACAGGCACCGGAAAATGGCCGTCCTATGCAAGAACTTCGCTGGACGCTGAGGTATTTCGCCCATTGGAATGCACTGAACTGGTTTTCAATGCATTTCAATGGGCTTTTTCATTTCGCTTGATGAGGATTTCGTTCTACAGCGATTTTGCTGGAACGGATTATCCTCGTCAAGCGAGGCACCACTGTATCTGACAGCATAAAGCAGTGGTCCCCAATCTTTTGGGGGCTGTGGATCGGCTGGGGGGAGCAGGTTCCATGCGTGGGACACATGCTTGATCAGAAAACCAAGACTTCTCCCTTCTCTCTATTCCCCTTTATATCACTCATAATTATGTTTCCCCATAAGTGAAATACCGTATTTTTCCACGTATAAAACAACACTTTTTCCTTAAATAGACAAAATATTACGGGTCATTTTATACACGGAAGACAGCTGCTTTCCTTGCCTTTTGCAAAGCCACACGGCTTAGCAAAATGGAAGGGAAGGCTCCCTTTGGGTAAAGCAGCCATTAAAGGGCTGCACGATCGCAGCCCTTTGATCCTGAAGAATGAAAGGGCTTCAAGATCAGTGATTGTGCAGCCTTTACCCGAAGGAAGTCTTCCTTTTTGCTAAGCCCCGTGACTTCACAAAAGGCAAGGAGAAGCCGCGATAAAGTGAGCCCTTTGATCCCTGCTTTTCCCTTCCTTTTGATAAGCTCTGTGGTTTAGCAAAAGGAAAAGCAGGGATCAAATTTTCGAATTTGGGGTTAGAAAGGTGGGTCGTCTTATAAATAGAAAAATACGGTAACATTGTCCCAACTAACATTAATATTTTAGTACCTATTTTTCTGATTAATTGCTTTATTTAATGATTTATTGCTGTTTGCTTATGGTTTATTTCATTTCATTGCATTGCAAACCAACCAGAATAGTGCTTTTTAATAATAGGGCGGTATATAAATTAGTGCATCTGTTTTTGATATTCTTGGGTTATAAAGGTTTTTAAGGTCAACTAAGAATAGAAATACTTGACATTTGATGCAAGATAGCTTATGAATTTTATGGTTTTTCCTTTCAAGAAAACAGTGCCTTTTGCTTTGGGATGAGCTGTAATATTTTCTAAACTTATTTAATACTTAAACTCTCAGAATACTCAAAATATATTACCAAACGGACCAAAAAATAATTGAATATATTTCATTTAAAGTTAAAGATCCTCTCATAATTTATTGCACAGTTGAATCAGCTTACAGAGTTGTGGTGGAAGTTTTGGTCTTGTTAATTAAAAGTTGTACTGAAAATCAATATGAGAGCCAATCCAATTCATGAAACAGGTTTCAAGATACTGCAGAGCACTCAGCATATATGTAATGATAGTTGTTTGCTTTTGACAAGGAAAAGACACTCACACATGGTAGGACCATGAATTATCACATCTTGAAAAAAAATAATTTGCACTGTGCAATTTTCCTAAACAGAGATGCTTTCATGACCTTTCATTATCATGTGGAAACATAAGGTGGCAATCATCTTGTGTCAATCAGTATGCAGCTTGAAGCAAGTCCACTCCAGGGAACTCAGCCCTGGTCACAGACAGATAGACATAATTCTCTTGTGGAGAATGGAATAATAGAATAATGAAGTTGGAAGGGACCTATAACGCCATCAAGTCCAACCCCCTGCTCAGTGCTGGAGTATGGATCGAAGGATATCTGCAGGTGGTTGTTTAAAGTTCTCTTGAATGCCTCCAATGTCACCTCGAGGTGATTGGCTCCATTGGTTCCAATGAATTACATTTCTTTCATTCTCCTCTCTTCACTCTCTTACTCACTTTTCCTTGTAAATCCTGACTTCAAGAACCTAACAAGACACACACTATATCACCCTGAACACAGCTGATATTGTATGTTTTAGGAATCTATGCAAGGGCAAAACTGTGTAGCCCTTGGATCATAGGTCACCAAGGATTATCGGATATCTCTAGGTAGGAAAGAATCCTGCCTGAAACCCTGGATACCTGCTGTCAGTCAGAATTAACAATACTGGGCTCAATGGCCGATGTACTTGCTGAATCAAGTCCACAATCCACCCAGTTCATAGTTCTATTCCCAGTATCTACCACCTGCAGGTATAGAAACAGGACATGAAGGCAGTGAACTCCACAACTTTAAAGACTTCTCTCATTGTTTGTATTCACCAACACTATATCTCTAGCATTTATAGGCATACTGTACTATCTCTGAGCATGGTGTTTCTGTCTGTTAACATGTCTGTCTTCCATACATTTATTCTCCATGGATTTATGTTGCTGTAATCTATGTTAAAGCTCTATAACTAAGGCCCATGGCCAACTCTCTGCAGTGAACTCGTAGAATTTGAAAGCTCCTTGTTTTCTCCTGCCTTACCTCTTGCCTTTGTGCTCGTCTCCTGCCTCAGCTCTGCACCGAGGACACACACCATGTGAATCTAACATGTCTCCGTTCATGTCGATTTGGCATTTCTTACACTGTTGGAGAAAGGTTCCCTTTCTGTTCTCAGACATGCTAAATGTTAAACTGGCCAGCTCAGCACCTCTGGACTTACTGTAGTGAATGGGAATTTGGAAAAGTGTTAGCATCTTAACAAGAGGTTTGCAGAAGCATTGTATTTCAGTCAAACCACCTAATCCCCTTTTGAGAGTCAGAAGCTGTAATCTATACAGGTTCAGCTCACGTATGTCCAATGATACCCTGTAGCTGCACCATCAGTGCAGGATCATACATTGCCACAAATGGAGCAAGCTAGATTCGACTTTGAAATCAAACACTAATTTGTTTTAAAGGGAATCCCTTGGAAAAATGGCCAAACCAAAATACCAATACTTAGCAATAGAGACTAAAATTAGCAAGAACAACAGTAAGTTTATATAGTATATTAAAGTTTTAAGTGATTCACATTATGTCCTTCTAACTCTTACTTCTGTAGATCCACCAATCACTGAATGAAACCTTTATAGTGGTGCCATTTCAAGCAGAGAAGTCTTCGGACAACTCAAAGCACAGTTGGGAGTTCTCCATACATCTTAAACTATACTCTCTGCAGAAAGCATTTCCATAATCATGCTGGCTGCAGCTTCTAAGAGGGAAAGATTCCTCACCCCTGCCTTTGGATTTCAACAGCTTATGCTGCAGGAGAGGTCTGCACTGGGTAGTGAAAACATACATATTCATGCAGATACTGTATTCCCAGGCACTGATAACTGATACTGGCTTTATTGAACTTCTATCCTCTATTGTCGTTTTTATTGATCTGTTTAAATCACCTTAATTATCTTTTACGTTGAAAAATAATTAGCAAATAAAATAAATAAACAAATAGTCCTGTATGTAATGTGTCAATAGTTTGATTTTCATATTACTAGAAGTAAAATAGTGTGGATGAAAAGCCATCTTTTGAAGCCATGAAACTATTATATCTCTTCCAGTGTATATTTTGAAATATAAAGTGAAAATGAGTAGATACATCAAGCCACAAGATTGCTTCTGTGGTACACTGGTGGATATTTATGTTCATGGGGAGAAGATAAGATGCCCTCCACCATTTTACATGGAAAGAAAAACTCTCTCTAGGTGTGTGTTTTCAAAAAATTCATTGCCTAACTGCATTCCCTCATTATTTCATTTCACTGAAAGCTATATTCTACTGTTTTCAGCTTTTGAACCTGCAGTAGCCTGTTGTGCAGAAAAGCATAATTATCCTAGATCAAATTAAAAGTTCAAAACAGACCTAAGAAGCCAAGGTCAGACAGTGCACAGGCTTCCTTTTACATAGATGTGTGCTAGAAAAAATGTATCTCCCCCACACACACACTTTTATATTTAACTGCTGAAGAAGACTTAGGGGAGGAGACTAAATAGGATCAGTTACTTACAGGCAACTAGGGACAATTGGATTGTGCAGAGAGAACTCCTATTTCATTCATCTGTTCTCCTGCTCTGTTCATTTTTAGCCATACCACACCTTTCACCCTGCTCATACTTCTGAACCTATTCTTGATTGTCTTCCACTCTCCCCTCCGATTCTGGGTGTCGCCATGTATGTAGGTCGGGAGATCTACACCTAATGTAGAACAAATAGTGTATCGCAACTACAGTTCTTACTTCCTCAATGAGTAGGCCTACTAGGTCACAAGGCAGGCCTATAATTGGCCTAATGGGGAATAGATATAGGAAGAACTCTCTTTCATTCCTGATGCCACCCCACCATCTCATTTCAATCAGAGGACAAAAGACCCTCCATCCCGCTTCCCTATATAACATTAACCAATTTAAAATGACCTGGCAGTTAGGATCCAACAGCCTCAACTGTGGCACTGACTGAACTACCCATGGGATTCCTGCTGCACCCGGTGTTCTGAAAGAAATCCTTTACTGCCTCATCTTCATCAGAGCAGAAGCCATTGAGGGAAATAGGCTTAGGAGAGCCTAAAAGCAAGAGAAGGGTTGTGCAGTACAAGCAAGGTAATAGTGTAATTATAAATTGTCCCTGGTTAACTATTTGATCCCCTGCACTACAGAAAGGCTTTGTCTGTGAAAGCCTGTCTCCAGGTTTCCTCACAACCAAAAGTACTTCCATTTCCACTATGAGAGTATATGCTGAAACTACAAAGCACCCTTCATCATGAGCAAGAGGCTCTCCCTATATTTTGTGGAGGGGGAGGGGAAAGAAAAAAGATGGAAGACACAATGGGAAGACACAGCAGGGTGTCTGGTGTCTTGATCTTCCTCCCAAAAATATTCAGTTAACAATTAACTGTCAAGGGGAAGAACGCTTTCCCGATCTAACGTCGCCCCCAAGCACCAGGTTGGACTGATGCAACTGGCTGCGCAAGGCAGATTCAGTTAAAAATTAACTGTCAAGGGGAAGAAAGCTTTCCCTATCTAACATCGCCCCCAAGCACCAGGTTGGACTGACGCAACTGGCTGCGCGAGGCAGCGCTTTCTGTGCACAAGACAGACGCGTGTGTGCCTGCATGTGTGAACCCATGGCCTCGCCTGTCCGGAAAAGGGAGAGGGTAGGAGGGAAGGAGGGAGATTGATTTGGGACACGCTTCCTCCACAAGGGTGGGAGGCGTCCTGGAAAAGGGAGAGAGTAGGAGAGAAGGAGGGAGACTGATTTGGGACGCGCTTCCTCCACAAGGGTGGGAGGCGTCCCATTGATTTGGGACACGCTTCCTCCACAAGGGTGGGAGGCGTCCCCACGTGGGCCTAGCAAGGCAGGAGGAGGAAGGAGGGAGAAAGGTCTTCCGAACAGGCCATTCCTGCCGCAACCCAAGGTCGCAGCTGCCTTGGGCACGGCTGGGCATCGGAAGAGCGTCCCTTGGCAGGCCAGGATGGCAGGAAAACGGCCACCCTGTTGCCGATCCCCACAAAATGGAGCCTGGGGGGCATCCAGGGTGGGAGCGTGTGAGAGGCCAGGCGATGGCGCCTTTGAACCAAGTTGGTGTTTACTCTCTCACCCCGCCCCAATCAGCTCCACAAAGCAGGCTGGTGACACATGCCATCCCAGCTAGTGGAAAACAGGCCAGGCAGAGGCAGAGGGAGAGAGAGGGACGCAATGACTTCTTCCTGCGGCCAATCGCCTCTGCAGCAACAACCCCACACACACTGAGGGGGCATAGGGGTGTGTGTGTGTGTGTGTGTGTGTGTGTTTCAGCAGGGGAGAAAGTGGCAGTGGGCCCGTGCTTGCGGGTAGGAGTGTCGCACTCGCGGGTGGGCGTGTTGCTCTCATGCACATGTGCACAAGTGTGACACATCCCTCTGCAAGCATGGCATGCCCACCCGTGAGCTTGACACGCCCCTCCACAAGCATGACGTGCCCAACTGCGAGCATGACACACCCGCCCATGAGCGCAGGGTTAGCCCCGCCCCCTGCGTACGGAGCCTGCACCCCCACAACCAGTCCGCAGTCCAAAGACAGTTGGAGACTGCTGGTCTACAGCATCCAAATTATTACTAGAGTGTCCTATCTTGCTAGAGTCTACAGCAATAGCAAGAAATCCCATATGTTTTTAAAATACTTAAAGATTATAGGTCTGACTAAAACTGCATAATATAATAGTTTCTGACTTTTTCATTTTGGGTGCTCTGAAAGTCACTTGGTAGACAGTGTTGCTGGAAGAAGTGAGGTGAGTGGGCGTTTAAAAAAATAATGTATAAGCATTGTTAGAAGAATTGCCATATTTCATCAGAAACGAGAAATTTTAACTTCATTTTCCCCCATTGACTAAAATATTTGTGATCTCACATTTGGCACTGAGGAGCAAACCTATCCGTTCTGGGAACTCAACCTTGAGTGCTCACTGGAAGGACAGATCCTGAAGCTGAGGCTCCAATACTTTGGCCATCTCATGAGAAGACTCCCTGGTAAAAACCCTGATGTTAGGAAAGTGTGAGGGCAAGAGGAGAAGGGGACGACAGAGGACAAGATGGTTGGACAGTGTCACCGAAGCGACCAACATGAATTTGACCCAACTCCGGGAGGCAAATGGAAGACAGGAGGGTCTGGCATGCTCTGGTCCATGGGATCACAAAGAGTCGGACACAACTAAACGACTAAACAACAACAACATCTGAATCAACAGAAGTTACAGAGGAGTTGAGTCAACTTGCACTAGTGTAGGCCCACTGGATCAATGGGAAATCTAGTACAAGTTACTGGACTAAGCAACAGGATTTTGGCTAAGCAACATTTGAGCACAAATGTTCAACCTGTAGCTGGCTGGATAGTTCAGTGAGTTAGCTATATGGCTGTGGAGCCAGAGGTCAGGAGTCTGATTCTCCACTATAGATGGGCAGGAAATGAACCAGAAAGCCAAAATACTCACGAATTGGGCCATTTTGTGCTTCATTTTGAGGCACTTTGGGGAAACACGCCTCTCCAGAATGGAATGAAACACCGAAGTATTATCGGTGTTGATGATTTCTATGCTTCATAGTTTATGTGATTTGGGATTTCCAGGAGTGGTGGAACAGATTCCTGCACAATTTAGAAACACCAAATTCACAGCAAGTCTTCAGCCGACTCACCTCCCCACCTCCTCCAGGTATGGCAAAGATAGGCTTTAGAATGACCAAGTTATAAGCCCCTCAAAGCAAGCCTCGCTGTGAGATTGGCATCTCTAAGTCACGGGAGGGGGGGCATTTTATCACTCCCAGAAGTCCTGAATCACATGTACCATGAAATGGTTCATTTTGTTAGAAAGTTCATGAAAGTACATGGTTTGTAAACAGTGATGAACCATCAATCATCATAAGCCACCACTTTCCTGGTTCCTGCCCCTGTTCCCCACAATGTCTCCCAGGAAAAAATCTAGCCTCTGTAGCCTCAAACAAGTGGCATAGTCCCAGAGAATTCCCAGAAGAAGGGAATGGAAAACTATTTCTGAGTATTCTGTACCTAGAAAATGCTAAAAAAAAGGTTGCCATAAATCAGGTAATTTGACAGCACAAAATTATTGTTAGATGGCTGTTCTGCCTTTAGGTTTCTTGATGAAATAGGTGGCAACAGCTGAGGCAACATCCCTATTCTCCTATATTCTCCTGAATACCTACTTTATGCTAGAAGGCACAACCGTAGCTCTAGGGAATAAAACCCAAGATTTATCTAATCTAATCCAACATTCCAATCTCAGGGCACGAGTGCACCATGAAAATGAATTGGGAGATGGACCAGGGTTTTTCAAGTTGCATTTGAGTCTTGTGACAGTGATGTGGTTTTTAGGTCAGCGTGTACATCCTGTTGGGAAAACTTTTAATCCATCATTAAACTGTGGTGTATAGCAGTTAGGATGGCTACATGCTCTTTTAGAGTCATTGCATTTGAGGCGCCCTCACACTGGCTGCCTCTCATAGCCACTAGTGTACATCCTGTAGGGAAAATTTTTAATCCATCGTTAAACTGTGGTGTATAACAGTTAGGGTGGCTACACGAGCTTTTAGAGTCATTGCATTTGAGGCACCCTCACACTGGCTGCCTCTCAGAGCCACTTGCCACTGCTGCTGTGGTGTTAATTTTAATATTTGTTTTAGTTTCATTTTTCAAACTGGAATAGGGAACTGGCAGCTGGGGCTTAAGACAGAGAAGGCATACCAGGGATTGGCAAAGAGAACTTGGCCAGATAAAAATTGACAAGGTCCGCAGCTGCTAGCCTTTCAAAGGAGGGAGAAAACCTCTCCCTCTGTTGGCTCATTTTTTCCAATTTTTCAAAACAAACAGCAAAAAAAAACCTAAGGTATACAGTGGGGGCTTGACTTGAGAACTTAATCCGTATTGGAAGGTGGTTCTCATGTCAAAAAGTTCTCAGGTCAAATCTGCATTTCCCATAGGAATGCATTGAAAACCATTTGATCCGTATCTGCTCTTTTCCGTCCATAGAAACTAATGGGAAGCTGCGATGCCGCCTTCGACCACTAGAGGGGGATATTTTGTTTCTTTTTTTCTTAGGTCAAGAAAGGTTCAGGGAAGGCAGGGAAAATACAGTCCAGGCAGTACAGTACCAGGCAGTCCGAAGACTGTCTCCCAATCCACTCTCTAAACGCTGGGAGGAGTGAGGAAGCAGACAGGCACCCTTTTCACTGGCCAACAGTTAACTGAAAGTTCAAATTTTGCACTTTCCCTGCCTCCCACGTGGTTTTTTTAGTTCTTAACTCAAATCTAAGTATGTAAGTCAAGTCAATATTTTCCAATGAGAGCGGTTCTTAAGTCAAAATGTTCTTAACTCGAGCCGTTCTTAAGTCAAGACCCCACTGTACTCCTGTTTTTCTGATTCCTGGGATCCTGGCATCCATTACTTCAGAAATTTCACAGACACAATTTGCATGACAGAGGCATTCACATATGCTAAAACAATTCAAAATATATTGATTTCACAAGCAATTTAAAATAAACCACTCTCTCACAGCCAAAAAAAATACTTTGCTTTCCAACAGAAAAACCCCAAATACCCGATGCTTCCTAGGCAAAAACATCCGCATTTCCCTGTGCGTTGTGTGCATCATATTTCAAATACGTAAAACGTTATTCAAAACAAGATGTGTTTTTTTTTCGACCTGTAACCATCTCCTCAGATATTAAAGGGAAGCAACAAAAAAGACCTGCTGGTAAGAGTGCCCTTCCATTCACCCTCCCCAGCAGGCAATATTCAGAGGAATATTGCCTCTAATATTGGAGGTAACACATGGTGATCATAAACATAACCACTGACTGACAAAAGGACTACCAAGAGCTGAGAAGTAAAAAAACAAAACAAAACAAATCCTACTTCTCTCCTTGTACAGGATCCTTTACAGAGAAAACAACAACAACAACAGAAAAAAAAAGTCTCACACCGCACTCAATGAAAACGCTACAGCTTTGAGTCTCCACAGGAAGAGAGTCCTGTAATTCCAGGCCACTGCCAAGAGGCTGTCTCTCTGCATGAGTTTGTTTTTTTTTACATGAGTTAAGTGACTTTTCTCAGGCTTTAGTACATGACTGTCCAGTGGAATTGCTGCCTGCGAACA